TTTTTTCCCCCCCGGATGGGGTTTTTTTGGGGGGGGGGGGGGGGGGGGGTGTACTCATAGTCGTGCATGCCGTAGTCGTTAGACCATTGACCTCGCATCCCTACAAAGCCGGGACGGAGCACGCCGGGTTCTCACCGGACCAGGCTCTCACATCACCAAGCGCGAAGCGCCGTGAGGTATTCGGCGAGTCGCATGAAGGGTGCGCTGCATCCTGCTAAGGGTGTTCGGCATCTTGTGCTTACTTCCTTGCGTACGGATGACAGCTGCGTATGACTGAATTTATAAGTTGTAAGGGGAGGTTTTTGATCCCGTGGGGGTGGGTCCAGTAGTACCCTCCCCCCGGTAGAAAGAAAAATTTTTTTTTTGAAATTTGACCCTTGGGGGTAAGGGGCCCTTTTAAAATTTTTTTGGTTTTGTAATGGGGGGGGGGGGGTTCCCCCTCCCCCCCCCCCCCCCCCCCCGACCCATTGGCGACTGCTAATTATTGTTCTCGAAAAAGTTCCGTGCTTTCTCGAAGTACGGTCCAGGTTTCGTTCTCGAGAACGGTCCGGGTTTTCACGCACGACGCTAGGCATCCGCACACGCGGGTGTTGTCGGTAAGACGTGCTTGTCTCTCCCCCACCTCTTCGAGTGAAGTGTGGCGGCGGGTGGGCTGCAGGAAGAAAAGGGCAGACGCTATATTTTTGTCTTTATTTTCTCAGTGTTGCCAAACATTTATCTGTTTTCGTTTGTCAGGGGTCGCGAAAACAGCTCGAAGGGACTCTTCTGAACGTAAATCGTATGTTACTATCGTCGATCGTGGCGCTCTGCGTCTTTTTTTATGTCGTGGTTTTGGGGACGCAATATGGCGCGCTATGTTATTGGTAGGTAGGTCTCGCTGCTTCTCCGGTAGATCGGCCAACAGCGCACCTTACCCCGTGTAGCCGTATTGAGGTGTGATTTCGCCTTGTCTGGATATGTGAATGTTTGTTACACGATTTTGGACTGATTGCGCCCTTGCATAAAAGTTGTAACCTCGGGCGCAAGATTCTTGTGAAGTTTATGGTACGGACTTGTGTACCGCTGAATTGATGTGCTACATGATTGTTTTCCCTTGCGCGCGCGGCGCTGTGGCGCTACTTTGCGCGGGACTCTCGATGTTTGTACCCTCTGGTTGTTAATAGTCGAATGAATTGCTGGCTAGCGCCACTTTGTACGATAGAGGTGGTCGCCTTTTGTGTCCGCGGTGCTGTCCATCTGCGCAAAGAGAAGAATCCAACCGTTCGGAAAAAATATGCTGTGATAGGTTCAGCATCGATCGAACGTCAAGGACGAAGAAGGCGAATTTGCCCCGCTTGTCGATTGTGTTATTATTTTGTTGTTTTCCAAGAGATTGCACAGAAGTGTTGGGAACTTTACGTCGTAGTCTAGGGTACGATAGGCGCGCTTGCTTTTGGTTGTGCTTGCACGGATGAAAACCTTCGTTCGTTTCATGGCCGACCGCCGCTGTTGACGTGTTGTTTTGCGGTGTTCTCGACAACAAGCAAGCTGGACAAACGGCTCCTCTGCTTTTCCTTGAATTGCTGGCTAGCGCCACTTTGTACGACAGAGTCGGTCGCCTGTTGTGTTCGCGGTGCTGATCATCTGCACAACAAGAAAGATCCAGCTGTTCGGAAAGATTTTGCAATAGATCCCAGCATCGATCGAACGTCTGCGCTGAAGGAAGAAGGCGAATCTGCCACGCTTGTCGATTTTGTTATTATCTTGTTTTTCGAGGGCTTGCACAGGAGTGTTGAGACTTTGATTTCGTCTGGGGTACGATAGGCGTGCTTGCTTTGGTTGTGCTTGTACGCATGCACACCTTCTTTCGTTTCATGGCCGACCGCCGCTGTTGACGCGTAGTTTCCGGTATTCTCGACGACACCAAGCAAGCTGGACAACCGGCTCCTCTGCTTTTGCTGTCACGCCAGGAATGGCTGCTGCTCCAGGCAGGGCTGACGGGTGATACCGAGGTAGACGGTCGACTCATTTTGTTTGCTCGTGCTTGCTTGCCGTTAAAGCTAATGGTGTTGCATGCGCATGCGCTAATCCCGTCGGGCTACTACCGCTGTGGGGGGGGGCGTAACGTTCTGTGTGGCACGGTACTACACCGTGTGTAAATTTGCGGCCAGCCTGTGCTAAGCTTTTGTCAAGCCTATGAGCACTACGCTGGCACTGCGTTTTGCTCGCGATACACGCCGCTTAACACAACGCGAGCGTTCAGGAGTAGAAAACGTGACACATTTCATGGTGATAGTTGGCAGAAGCGTCGGACTTGTTACGCCTGGAGAGATGGGCTGGAAAGGAAGGGCACACGTTGAGGAGCAACAAACTCCAACTCCGTGGACAGGAGCTTTTTTTTTGGGGGGGGGTGCGATGTCGTCCGGGCGCGCTCTTGGCTCTTGGCTGCGAAACATGTGTGGCAGCATCGACGGTCCATGGGACCTGTGCGTACCTCAATGGTACACACACTCTGCCGGAGTGTGGTGGTTCAACCCTGCCTCTCGCGTGCATCCGCATTGCTTCTAAGAAGCTGGTCAACAAAAAACACTACTTACGATACTAGTACGATGACACCCTTTGGGCGTAGTTACGCTTCACTTCTTGGCCACCCCCGCCCTCTCGAAGTAGTTAACTCCGAGGAACATCTTGTACAGCTCTGCCCACATGGCGGGGTCTTTCAGGGTGCCTGCCACGGACTCCCTCGCTCGGCACTTGTCGATCCACGCCACCAGCGCGGGTACTTCGATGTCGCCTAGAGACCACCCCTGCCGAAACATGCAAAAAATAGGATGGGAACGGGGTCAAGGTGAGCAAATACGAGGGGAGCAAGGGGAATGTCTTCCTCTTGGGGCAAGAGGCAGGGTTGTACAGCCCAGTCAAGCTGGAAATCGTTCGGCAGTGGGGTTGAGGAAGAAAGGCCAGTGAACAGCAGTTCCGATGAAATTTCCCTCCACAAAACACGCGCGGTGCGCGACCGTGTCGTGCAACAAAGAAGCTTTGCCTGTGCGAGACCAAAGCCAACACACCTACGGCATGAACTCGTTGATAATCCTGCCCGATAAAGGCTCGCCACTGGCCTCTCGATGTTGCGTCCGAAAGTCGATGAGGTCCGATCTACTTTTACAAGGTGCTCGGAGGCGTGTTATTGCATGCGATCTTTATCGGTTGGGATAAGGAATCTTACACAGAAGCGTGCTTCAAAGCTACGCACGCAAACAGAGCGCTCCACAATTTAAACAAACGCAATTATCATCCGAGCTACAAAAATAAACGAATACCAATATGCATATTGCCTCTATTTTTTCTTGCCACAATAAATCTACAACTTGTGATCTCAAAACCGTGTCATACTCGGAGCAGCAATGCAAGCCAAGTCTGAGCCCATGCCATAAAGAAAACCATGCCAAAAACAAACACATGTAGAATTCAGTGAACAGGCTTAAACTGGGCTGCTGATGTTCTCCCACTCACTTAAAAAGACACCCCCTTCGACTACGGTTATACCTCGATCGGGTCGTCTTCTCTGTCTTTGTATGTAAGTGTTATCATAAACAAACCAACCTTGAAGGGCTCGAGGGTGGCGGCAATTCGTTCGAGGAAAGGGAAGTAGGCGACGTCCGCGAGAGTCATGCGCCCCTCCCCCGCCTCCCCGCACAACCAGCCGCAGGCCTCCCCCTCCCCCGCCGAAGCTGCGGCCCAGGCATCCAGCGCCTTGAGCTCCTTCTCCAACTTCTCGCGCTTCTCCGCCTCTTGCTCCTGCTCTCGCCAGGCAAGAGGGAGAAGGAAAAAATGTCGACAACGGCGGCTCCAAACAGGGTTAGTGCCCTCTGAGTGGCCGTCCTAGCACGACCAGTTGGTTCGGTTTAAGTCACGTGTGCGGCATGGCCAGACCAGAGACAAGGCGGCATAGCAACGAGTACCGCTGTAACAGAGGGAACACGAGCGCATGCAGCCAGAAGATGTCCACATACCAAAGCGCCAGCCACCGGCCATAACCCAAGTTGGCACCCCCCCCCCCTCCCTCCTCACGTCATGGAAACGGCATGAGTTCTTTCTTCACGACAAGGTTGGCGTCAGATCAACCTGCGGGGGCGCCACCTCACCTCATCCTTGTTGCTCAGATAAGTGAAGTATGCCGTGACGAGGTCGCTGCTGCGACTGGCGACTATCCGGACCTTCGCCTTGTCCGCGGGGGACGCTGGCAACAGCGGGGACGGGTCGTATTCTCCCCCCGGCGGAAACTTCTCGGCCAGGTACTCGTTCACCACCAGAGATTCGTAAATCTTTCTCAAACAGAAAACGGAAGCAAAATACAGAAGTGAGGTGAGGGGGTGCATGGCAAGCGGTAGTCCAATCCGCGCTGAAGCTGAAGCGGAGGGATGCGGTGTTGGAGGAGAGCGTGAGCGTGCTCAAGAGCACGTGAAGGGTGGCTGAGAACTTGAAAGGGAAGGTGGAAGGGGATGCACCTTACAGTGCTCGCCTGGAGGAAACGCGTCGTTTTGAGCGTTCGTTCACCGCACAAGAATCGTGTGCGCTTTCTCGAGTCAGAGGCAGGCGTATAACGAGAAAGGTGGCCTTTCGATTGTCCCCAAGCCACCTTTCGTGGAAAAGCCGAGATATGTCCCACACCTAAGAAACAAGAGAAAAATCCTACACCAACACACGGGTCACACGAAAATCGACAGGTCTTTCTCGCAGATGATCGAAGGAGTTTGATACGCTTGCAGCACGGCACAGAAGAAAATCGAATATGTAATTAGCCGTGGGTCGTTCGAAGGTAGGCAGCTGCCATCTCCCTCTCTGTACACATATATCAAGAAGCCTGTACACCCAGCTCCTTGTCATCGTACCTTCCAGGAGTTCGCCCGACCGAACGCCATATGAACTCCTCACAAACGACTTCAAGACCTTGAATATTCAATCATGGGGAAACCTGCATAACCATCCTCTTGGGACACTGAAGATCTGGTGTCATTTGGGGCACTGAATATCTAGCCGCCACAAAGAAACATCGAGGTCTCCTGTGCGTACGCAGGCGAACAACTCACTCACCACGTCGTCACCGCAGACGATGGTCGGGACCTTTCCCAACGGGTTTAGCTTCAGGAACCACTCTTCGCGGTTGTCCTTTCCGAGCTCTGTTGTGTCACAACAGGTCGCGTACGGGGACGGCGTAGCACAGCAAGGCAGGGGAAAAGGAGCTGTAAACAAAACGCACGTGCAAGGTGAAAGTCCCGTACTATTCCACTACGAACCTGCTGCGCAGCCGGTGAAAACGCTTCGCTTTTCTAAAGGAAACACGTAAAAAAGTCGGGCCAAAAAGGCGTGGGGCAGCACGCAATCGAGATGTGGTGTGATTGCTGCTGTTGTGGTTATGTAGTGCTTCCTGTACTCCTTCGCGTGCACACGTGGTAAACGCCCTCACATATTACGCACGTTTGTGGGCGATGAGAATTGGCAGTACATAAAATGCCACAAAAGGTCCACGAAAAATTATGCCGGGCTGCAGACGAAAGGCGTAACAACTCGCACAACATATTTTCAAGCCCGCCTCCCTCGCTCCTACTTTGGAAATCAATCGTCGATGCCAGTCAACAAATTTATTGTCGTGGCATCCACATGCATACGAAGAAGAAAACCATGCGGGATACCGACCTCTTGGCATATGCCCCAAGCGCAAACCAGCTTGACATAAGACCTCGGGGGGTTACGGATATCAGCATCCGTAGACGCGGTGCAAGCTTACCCATGGCGTGGAACTTGAACGGCACGCCTAGCTCCCTGGCAGCGATCCTACCCACCAGCGGCAGCAAGCGGACAGACACAACAGACCGATATTGGGTGTTGGGTGGGGGTGATACGAACGGCTTCCAAACCCGCCAATTAGTAACATCGCTTAAAATGCCGAGACTGTTCCACATGTGACTCCCGCCTTGATTTGAGAATATAGTGGTGGTCACTGATCGAAAGTGAAGTTGGGGCAAGGGTCAAAACGAGCCCCCCATGCAACCGCTCAATATGATTTGAGAGCTCTCGCGTTTCACGGCCCTATCTAGCAACTTAAGTTCTGGTGAAATGCCCCGCAACAGCAGTTGCCCCGAGAAAGCAGGGTTGTGGATGATGGTCCAATTCTTTCCCAAAGCACTCCCCGTCTTAAATGACATGCAAGACCACGGAAGTTACTACGTGCCCATTTTCCATTACTGTGTAAATGCGACAGGCGTCAAACAGGTTCCCACACCAAGCGGAAATCTCCAAGTGGCACATGGTATCCAGAAAAAAACAATAGCCCGGCCGGCTACATAGCGCAACTAAACTACTTGTAATGCCCGCCTGCGTTCGCTCGCGAGTCGCTCCAGTGCACCGAGAGCACGACCCCCCGCTAATGGCGAAACTGCTGTACCGATGCCTCAAGATACCGCACGAACGCTTTGAATTGCGAAAGGGAGATGGGCAGAACGATTCTCCTGTTGTGTGAGTCTACACTCCACGCCAATCCACGCCATGCATGTGCATGGGCCGGCGGGGAGAAAGAAGATGGACCATCGACCGGCTGGATTCGTCCCACCACCGACTCGACGATCGCTGGATTGTCATCATCTGCAGCTTCAACTGCATCTATGTTGACTCAGCTGGGCAGCACAGCATCGGAGGGCAGCAGCAATAGTCTTTCAGGGGTCTGGATAGAAGGGCCTCCAAGGTTTGCGACGTATATTGCACACGACTGCTCTTGTCAGGGCGAAGACGCGGCGAGGATGATGCACCGCCATCATGTGTCGCCAGCCAGCTCTATCGTTCTCACCACATGCAAACACCAACGAACTGCACTGCAACTCTGGCATGCCCCCCTCAGCAATCTGCATAACACATAAAACCAGGACCATGCTTACCATGTACGTTGCGCGTAAGGGCACTTGTCACTGCTGTACAGCGTGAAGGCTGGTTCGGCATCGCTACCGTCGGCGGACACCTTCGTAGCAGCAGCAGCAGCAGCAGCGGGGGCCGCTCGGGCAGGAGTTCCTACAGCGGCGACAAAGCCCGAAGCCGGGGAATTGAGCGCAGCCAACCCGGCAGCCGCCAGGAGGAGAGTCGTAGACATGCGGGGCGGGCGGTGACACACGCGGAGGGAGAGAAGCGGACGAAAGAGGTGCAGGTATGGCTGGTAGTGTGGCTGCGTGTCAGCGTGTCAGAGTCCATCAGAGCAACCAAGAGACCGAATCAAAAGGTTCAGTATACGAACCAACATCCGGCAGCTCTCTAGACCACCCTTCAGGCGAGGCCACGGCGGCACGACACAGCGAATCTGGTCAACATACACACTGCCCTATCATGCCGAACTCCACGGGATCGAGGCTGGTCTCCTATGCTTCCGTAGCTCTGACCACGCTTCTGCTGCGGTGCTCGGGATTCACGATGACGGCTGCCCCCAAGGGTCCTCCAACGAGCGCGAGCAGAGGGGACTTTTTGAAGAGCGCAGCGATTGGCATCCTTGGAGCCGGCGTCGGAATATCGGCGGCAAGCGTTGCGGTCGGACGGCCGGTGCTGGAGAGTGCGGAAGCAGCGGCGGATCCCTTGGTGGAGACATGTGAGGCCTTAAGAGGGATGCCATGAGACACGGTGGTACGAACAGAGAGAGAGCGTGAGAGCAGGGCACACAACCGCACACGATGATTTTGGATGTGCTGGTTCGGATCGATCATGTTTGCCGACTGACGTGTTCCACCGCGTGTGCAAAGTGTATGTACTTCCGTCAGGGCTTGCCCTGGGGCGAGCAAAGGCGAAGAGCGGGTGTGTAATGGAAAATACCCGTCGTGGTGATATGAGGACCTTGTTGTGACCGGCTTGTTAACTAGAGGAGAGGAGATTCAACCATCGACGCGAAACTGCACGAGGCGCACGACGCGTGCTGTTGTTCCCGCCCGCTACCTGAAGAGGTTCAGGGCGAGGGGCATCGCTAACCGCGTATGGCCGTCTAGGGTGCGGTCTTAACGTATTTTTGTTGATTTGAAAGGCTGTGCATGAATCGGAAACGCGTCCTATCTTGGACTCATATACGGCGCTGTGAGCTGTAGTACATTTTCGAAACAGCATGCCACAATATCTGAGAGCGACTTACACCCCAACCGTTACATTTTCGAGATACCCAGCGAGCACTTACACAACAATGGGTTATGACGTCGGAATCCCACGTGTTTCGACCACTCTGGGTAGATACTGCTTGTAAGTGGCATCGCAAGACGCAAAGTCCGCCGATGGATATCGATCTTACTAGTCTTGACGTGCTGTAGCTGGCGATTGCGTGGCACCCTTGTTTTGCGCGTTGTGGTATCTGCGCGGAAGCACTGAATGAGGAGTGTTTTCAGACCGCAATCACAGCTTTAGGTGAGTATTTGAGTGCTGCATGCTCAGACGCACGAGTCTGCTCAACAGCTGTTGGTTCCAACTCAGAGATGTGACATGCATGTTCACCCTCGTTCTTAAGGCCTGTTTAACGTTAATAAGTTGCAACTATATTGAGGCCCTGCAAAAAATAAGTTAGGGGGGGGTGCCGGAGGCCAACGACGCTGATTGGTCAACAGGAAAAAACACGATGAGTATTTCTCTGCCCGGAAAAGCGGGACTTCGATATTGGATGCAGCAAAAAAAAATTGCAAATCGAATTGGTTTTTGCTTAATCGAATACCTGTGTTGCACTGCACCCCTTTCGGACCCCCCGTGATGAGCTGAATTCGTGTTGGCGTTACCCCTGACTGGACCGCATGTGACACACTGGCCGTGCGGCACCCACACGCATCGCCCACTGCCCGTCGCTCGCTGAGAAATAGCTGTATTGCAATGATTCTGTGAGCGTGTCAACTTTTTCGCGCTGGTTGGGTTGCTGTGGAGGTTGCTTTCCAATATGTGCGATGTCAAAAGTCTACGCCGGTTGTGTGCAGCGAGACAGTCCAAACAATAGCTGTATTGCAAGCCTGAGGATAAGGCTTGGACCGCTGGCACCGCCTGCTGATGCTTAGCTTCCTTCGTGTGTGTGCTGATATATTTTTACAGCTCCAGTGTGGTGGACATGGTCTATCGCTCTACCCGGTTGGTCACCACGTCACCTCGCGGCAGCGATTCCGCCGCATTTGGGATGATGCTGAACCTCGATGTGTCAAAATTACGTTGAATCGACGCAAGCCCTTTTTGCCCAAAAATCGAAGTAGGTCCATCCGAAATGGGTACTCAATTTAGGTGCAATTTTTTATCGATAAAACAGACCCTTACCCACGTTCGATGGATGAACCATGGATGATTACCGCAAGATGAATCGGTGACATATACCCCCCCGCCCCGCCTGCAGACTGGGGGAACGGCTGCTTCTGGCATGTGCAGCGTGAGATGATCAGGGCAGAGCAGGCTATCCTCGGCAGGTCCGTGATATGTCGACGTGTTTGCCTCCTTTGTGAGTGACTGGCCCCGATCTGACACTTTTATTTCCACACTTCGTTTGTTGCGCCACCCTTCGCGTCCAAACCCGGCTATGTTACCTCCAATTTCTTTGATTGCTTACCCTTCTTGCAGCCCTTTACTCTTAACCAGTGCGAGACTAATGGTCCAAGCCTTCCATTGCTGGCCCTTGCCCGGTAAATAGCCTGGTGCCCGTTCGAACCCGACCGAGATACACGAACTATTGGGGTCCTAGCCCAAGTGGATGCTGAAGCCCCTACACATAAAGTCAAAATCGGGATACCCGTGCACTTTTCGCTTGCTTTCCTTGCTCTACGTCGCCCCGTAGGTCCACCGATGAGCTGACTTCCTACGCGGGCTACGGCGGGGCGAAGAAAAACTTCCAAGGGGACAAGCTGTGCTACCACAACATGCGAGGGATCGGCGACTACGGCAAGGCCGGGGCCGCGGAGGTGGGTGCGATTTGTTTGCACATCAAACGCATTACTCGGAGGCCGATCGGTGTTAACCTCTCTGCGTTGTTTCAACAACTCCATCTATAATACCAGGTGTTTGATTCATATTCGTGCGCGGCGATTGTCGGTGCTCGATCGTGAGATATCGTCGTGGAAGAGGGTGTCTTAGGGCAACTGATTACAAGTGACATGTCGTAGCCTCTTTCAGCTAAGAGGTTCTGATTCGGAAGGAGGCTGCAAGCATGTAGTGGAAAGGGTCAACGGTAGAGCGCTAATCGTCTTCACCTTCTGAACGGGTCGCGGAAACCGGCAAATGTAGTCGTTGTCTCTCCACGTTTCTCACACGCTGGGTGATGCGACGCGATGTGCGACTTTTGTGATCCCGACACGTGCTGCCGTGACTGTGGCAGGTCGTGTCGGTGACAATTCCTTCGTCGAAACTGCCCGAGTTTTCGAAGGCGTACTTCGACATGTTCGTGAAATACGACAACGGGGCCGGGCGAATTTTCATGGATCGGCGTGACCCTCAGGTCAGACAGGGAGATAGACAGATAGATAGATGTACGCGAGGTGACGCTGTTATTGCTGTGAACGGGTCGCGCAGATATTTCGAACCCACCCGGGTACCTGGCGCTCTTTTCTGCGGTACCATATGCTTGTGATGATATATTTTCGCCGTGTTTTTTCCTCCAGCATCCTTAGATTGATCACTCGAGTCCCTTCATGATTCATTGGAGTGTCGTTTTCCTTGTGTCCAGGACCGAGGAGGGGAGTACAGGTCTCTGCTGGGCGTGCCGGGTGGTCTCTCGGGGCCAATGGCGGATCCCATCAAGCAAGAGGCCGCCGCGCGGGGGCTGGCGCTGAGGGAGGGGAACGGAGGCGACCCTGACACTCTCATGAGGAACACGGTTAGTGGGACCGCAGCACTGCTTGGTCGTTGTCGTGTGATCCGTTGGGCGCGTTCGGTTCTTTTGCTGCCGATGTACAGAAACAGCCAGGCGGCGATCACGACCCCGATATGATGATCCCACCTCATCTTCGACACGTGTGTGTGTTCTTTTTTGGTTTGAAGGTGTTTGTCATGGACACGGCAACGTTCCCGTTCTTCAAGGGCGAGATCTACCACCAGTTCCACAACGACATGTCTGAGGACTACGGTCGCAAGTACAACAACTTGCGGAAGCAGTACGCCGAGGAGGGCACGATGCAGGAAACCGGCTGCCCGGAGAAGTTCATGTAGTGCGAAGAAGCAGCGCTTGGCTTTGTTTGGAGAGAACCACACGAAACGAATCGCCCCATTCGGCGAACCCGCACTCTCGAATGCGATGGGTTGTTTAATCGGTGTAATGGTGGCTTGATTACACAGGTAGATAGATACATGCGGTTGTCGTGAGTTTTCGGGGGCTGAAAGCACTTGGGTTAGAACCTACCCAAAGTCTTGGGTCAAGCTCAGGCTAGTTTTGGTGTGAGTGCGCCCCTCCTCTCTGCCGCGCCACCAATGCGTGAAGCGAAGTCTCGAAATAAGCTCGACCAGGAAGCGAAGATTGAGGACGCCGGCCCGGCGACTCAACACGGCTCAGCTCGACAACTCCCCGGCCATGTGTTGCACATGCGTTGTTGCGGGTAGATGCTTGTGTCTCCTTCCAGTTTAGTTGAATGGTAGTGGCCGCAATACCCTACGAAGACAAAGGCGAGCAGGAGGAAAGCCCCAGGGTTGTCATGGGGGAGTGAATCGTTTGGCAGGGTTAACCGTCAAGAAGTTCGCTACTCGTTGGGTGTTCGTCTAGAAAGATAGTTGTTACTGTGCAGGCGGGTATAGCATGTATTGCTATTTCACTATTTCCCGTGGAACCGAAAACGAAGTGGCACGTTTAGAAAGCAGCAGTAGAGGTGGAGAAGGTCAATATACAGGAAACACCAGCTGTGGATTGTAGAAAGATTCTAATACGTGTGTTTTTGTTGCCTTCGTCTTGCGTACCTTGCCCAATAGCCATTTGCCAACCCACACGAGCGTCAACGCCCGATGACTCAATATGGATGACCTTGCCTAGGCTCTTGAACTGAAGAGCAAGGCCGTGCAGGTTCGACCAAGTCTCAACAGGGTGCCCTGGGGCCCCCCGTGAAAGATATCTACTGTAGTTTCCACCACGCCGCAGCAGTAGCTGCGTGTGCGTTTGTATAGCGTGCGTATTGGTGTGCGTGCGTTTGATTTTTGGGCGCGGGCGGGGTTCGGAGAAACACGTGAGGGTGGGATGACATTTTCTCATCCTCTGGAGATTGAGATACCCCCTAGTTGAGCGCCCGCCGCAGACCGGTGCAGTCCTTCGGTGCAGTCTCTGATCAGTGTTGGAGTATGGAAAAAGCCGTTGTCTGATGGTGTTGCCGAAAAGTTCAACACTTTTTCTTCCATGAATTCTCCAGCAACAAACAGTAGTAGGGGACAGTCGGACACCGAATCCCTCTTGATCAGATTGGTCGCAAGCTACACCTAAAGGCAATACGACAAAAGAGACCCGAACAGAGTCCCACCACTGGTACTGGCTACTGATAGTAGAGAGGTGCTTGAATGATGAATGTTGTGTCGTACGCATTGTAGAAGCTAACGAGCACATACCAGTCCAACATCAGCATCCAGCATATAAAGGGGAAAAAAAGTACGTTGAATGCCAGTCCAGTATCTAGGTGGCGCTCGACCAAAACAGATGCAGTATGGATTCAATAGAATTGCAGTACCTCGCACGCTTGTCTGAAGAGCGCAAGAACGTACTGTAACTCGCTCTGTTGACCTTGGAGAGCATTTCAAATGCAGTATTGGTGCCCGGACTCATATCCACCCGTGGACCTGTGGATAGAGAAGTCTCTCTTCCTCTCTCTCTCTCTCTCTCTCTCTCTCTCTCTCTCTCTCTCTCTCTCTCTCTCTCTCTCTCTCTCTCTCTCTCTTTCATTGCCTGAAGTGCAGAAACCGGTAGTCACACCGCATGATGAAAAAAAAAACGGTGGCGAGATGACCACGGGAGATGAACCCTAGACCCACTCTCGCGTTCATCAGTTGAAAACTGAATTAAGATTTCGTACCTCGACATATCTGAGACTTGAAGAAGACACACTGGCAAATATTTCTGAAGCTCCTGCTGATTATCTGAAAACTGATATGAAATTGGTTCGACTTCGGACCGCAACTATTGAAGAAATTGACACGAAGAATACAGAGATGAATGTGAAATCTCACCGCACAATAATTAGGCAAGTACCTCTGCTCTTGCTCTTCCCCTTGCCCGTTCCCCTCCTCGGGGCACTTTCAACGGAACTCCGAGATCATGACGTCTGGTGTGCTCAACTTCATCCCTCTCCTCGGTGCCGCACTCGGTCGTGGGATCATCGCAGTCGCTCTCGTTTCGGGCTTAGGGCAGGTGCTCGCTATTCGTGCTTGCTCCCTGCCGCATACGGGCGACCTGGGCCGAGCTTCTGTTCGAGGTCCGCGAGATTCCGGCTGGTGAGTCCATGGTACCCATCACTCCGGCTCACCAGCCTGTCCAGCACCGCCTTCCCCGCCGACCACCCAGGCGCCGTCGACTAGGTCGATGCGCCTTCGTTCTTCATCTCGGGTGGCGGGAGGTGAGAAGCCAGCTGCCTCCGAGTCTAGTTTTTTGGCATCCATGATTTGATAGAAGTGCATTGAACGCGCCACTGCTGTCCTTCGTTGCTTCGTTGTAGCTCTGTCGTTGACGATTGCAGAAGATGCGCTCACGAGTCTGGTTGAGGGTCAGCCCCCCCACAAAAGGCCGACACATGCACACAGAATCTCATAGTCCACCTGACGCTTGATTGCATTGGGCACGGCGTACTATCTACAGTAGACTTCATTGTGTGTTGAAAAATATCACCAACGGCGGTCGGTACTCATATTTCAGCATATATTGCGCGTTCCCCGCCATCTTCACCGGTCCCCACGGGATCCATTCTGTCCTTGATACATTCAAAACGTCTCTCCGCCCATCCAGCATCTCTTGGGTTGTTGAGTATACTAACGGCGGCGGATGTTGCTGTATCTGTTGCCGTTGAATTGTGTGTCGTAGGCCGCGGCAGTGACGCTCTGTCCAGCAGCAGCAGCAGCAGCACCACCACCACCACCACCACCACCAGCAGAAAGGATGACCTTGCGTCGCGGCGGCAGCCTCGCACTGGGAAGGGTAGCCTTAGAAGTGGCCGTAACGCGGGTAGTGTCGCATCTGGCACGCGGAGTAAGGGACGCACTGTCGCGACGAGCAGGGCGACGTGTACTGCTAGAACCAACATGCAATCAGGTAGGACGGTGCTTGACGGTAGCACGGCAAGAGTGACAGAGTGACTAGGTCAAGTGTGCGAGCCGGCAAGATGAGACTGTGCACAGACACCATCCGATCGATTTCCAAAGTACCCGGGTTCATGGAGTGATGGGCGTTATGAACGAGATAAGTAGATGTAACGACGAAAAAACTGTGTTTTTTGGCGTTGGTGTTGGTGATGTTGTGGTGGAGATATCCCGAAAAAATCATACACTGTGAAGTGAGTTTATCATGCTATATATACAAGGGCTCCGGACTTTGGGCGCAGAGGCGCCCTCGTCCTCAGTAGTAGGCTTAAAGGGAAGATGTGAAGGCTGTACACTGCATACCAAGGGCATGAAGCCGCAGGGTGACCGAATGAACGGTGTGAAGATGTTTGCGTTGTATTTGAGAAATGTGCCATTCCCGGTGTAACATGAAGTCAACAGAGTCGCGTGTACGTGAATTTTTGTCTAGCTTCGCCCGGTGCGAACGAAAAAGAGATGTAAGCTACGGTCGCCTCTCTTTTATTGGGCCGGTAAGAACGAAGACGTGGAGCATTAGCATCTGAAACTGAAGAGTTTCGTACGCTGCACTCCACAGGGGCAGGAACCTAGGCTTGTCGTCCGGACTGTCACGTGGAATACGCTACAACTGTGTCCTCGTCGAGGTTGTTGTTACGGTCGCAAGGGGCAAACTTGCCTTTACCGTCGCGCTTGTTAATGAGCTAAAGGTGACCGCCGTCGTCGCAGTCGGGCCCGGGGCAAGGCCAGTTGGGGTCGCCCTTTTGTACAGGGCGGCGGGACTCTCCACTACGACTCTCTGACTGGGTGGACTTACGCTTTGCTGGGGAGCGACGGGAGAGGGCGTTCATGTTGTGTTGCAGCTGAAGGTCGATGCGGGGATGAGAGGGGAGGATGTCGAAAATGAGAGTGACCGGGTGGGGCCGGTGGGGCTGGAGCACGTTTTCACGCTTTACAGACTAAATTCTGACTAACTTGGAGAGGAAATTCGGAACATTCGACGAAATGTGCACTCTTTCATTCACTCTGCACAGACTAAATTCTGACAAACTTCCAGCAAATATTCTAACTTCTGACTAACTTCCAGCAATTATTCCACGAAACGGTGTGGTATCACGAAAAGTTTATCTCTCTTGTTTAACTGTATATATACGATATAGCGCAGTCTACAGCTGCACCTTCAATACAACAACAGCAGTACAACAACAGCAGTGTTCACAGTATTACAAGAAGACATATGCCTCCAACCTTGCAGCACTTGCAGCAATTGATGATGCCGTGAGATTTGCGTGCATGTTCAAGCTCAAAACAAAGCAAAAGTCAAGTCTAAAGTTGTGGCGCCACAACAACAATCAATCCACATTTGTCCAATCTTGCTTGCTACAGCTGTAGAATATGTGCATCTTGGAGGGTGTGTGTGGCATATACGTAGTACGTAACCATCCGCGCGGTGACAATACACGATGCACATACTCCAGTTCGCGTTGCTTACGCTAGATAGAGAAGAAGGCGACAGGATGCATGCATGCACTACTTACTGTACGTACAACGCATACCACATAGTGCGGACAGTCTGTCCATATCTATCTACAGATGAGACCATGCGGCAAAAAAAAGTCTGTGCTAGGTACTGCATGTTGCTTGTACTTCGAGTATGTATGTGTCATGATTTATGAGTTGACTTCGAGTATGTATGTGTCATGATTTATGAGTTGACGTTCTCCAAAATCTCGTCCAATGAGCTGCGTGATTCTTTAGAGATCACAGTCCCTTGAAGTCCCTTTTGCGTAGACGTCCCCGGATGCAGGAGATTTAGCCATACTTCACGGTGCTGTAACTCGGCTTGCCCTTGGAGTCTAGAGCTCGCGACAGGGGCGCTGTGATCGTGAGAGTGGCACGCCCACGTCGGCGAA